TCCTGCCTATTTTCCTTTTTTGCCCTTTTTTTGTAGGTTTTTAGGTCCTAAAAATCCGTTCCCTGGTAATAATGTTGTGTGTGAACTACAAAAAAATGGAATTAATGGGATTATTTTACCACATACCTCCTATGCAAAACTTAACCTAAAAATTCTTTAAAAATACCATAAATGCCATCATTATTATATGAGATTACGTTAAAAGTCGGAAATATGAGCCAATTGTTAGTTGCTCCTGTACGCGCTTTCTAGTGAACTCGTTGGGTGCATAGGCGGTGAGCGTGAATGGTTCACGATGCGTGCGCGCTGTGACAAATATTGCTGTAAGTCAAAAACAGAAAAGATCTAACAATTTTTTTTTTACAAATATTTTCTTCAATAAATGCAGTTTTCGAAAATATAAACGAAATGGAAAACACCCATTGAGAATATATTTTTAATGCAACTTGAATATTTGTTTTTGTTATTTTTTTGGCCTTATAACAATTATATTTAACAATTTATATTGAGCTCGAGGCCGTTTTTTAAATGAAAATTTATTGTGGAAAAGCAACAATAATTTGAAAAAATGGTAGAAGTGATAGCTATTTCGGAAATCACCACATTTCCTCATCAGACTTCTTTCAGTAGGATTCCAGCCAGTTGCCTATGCACCGTGCTAAGTACGCCTCGTAAATTATCGTTTGCTTTTTTCCACTATTTTTAAAATTTAAGCACTTCCTTACGACGCTACAGCAAAATGCCATGTAACCTATTTTCGCAATTTTCAAACTCCAAATTGATTTTATACCTATGGTTTCTTAGGCAAATTTTCTTTCAATTACACGTAGAATTCTTCTGTGCTATACGCGCATAGTCGGAAAACTCTCCCATACAAATTGACCCGCCCTAATGTAAATATGAAAGTATTGATCATATGTCGACTGCTGAGTGGAAGATCGACCTATCTCGACAGCCAGTTCGAAAACGCCCTATCTCAAAAAACTTTTCAAGAACGCCCTATTTCAGAATTTTATTGAAAAACATTCTATCTCAGAATTTGGTTGAAGAACGCCCTATTTCAGAATTGTATTCAAAAATGCCCTATCTCACTTCAAAATATATTGAAAATGTGCTGAGATAGGGTGTTTTTGAAACGAATTCTGAAATAGGGCGTTCTTCAACCAAATTCTGCAATGGGATGTCTTTAAAAAGTTTTTTTCACATAGGGCGTTTTCGAACTGGCTGCCGAGATAGATCGGCCTTCCACTCAGCAGTCGATATGTTATACTTCGTACTGCCAATATAGGAGTACATATTACATATAGGGTATTGATGTAATGTATAGAACGTTGTACGCGACATTCTTTTCTATCATACATAAGTTCTGTTCCTGTACTCCATGAACATACAGGTTTTTACACGTACGGTACTGCAAAATCCTATAAATGAGAGCAATTTTTAGAGAGTTGTGTAGAGCAGGCTTTCCCAAAGTGGATGCCGCGGCACCCTGGGGTGTAGCGAGCGTATGCCTGGGGTGCCGCTAGTGGCTAGAGTATACTAGTGGTGCAGGCAAATTCTTTAAGTTTTCAATATACAACGCAAGCGGCTTAATCAAACTTCAACATGGCGGCCAGAAAATCAAAAATTTTGATTTTTATTAAAACTACCTTCAGCGGCTCGTCAAACCCCATACAAAACACAAATGGTTTGCAGCAAAGGGATATTTCGCTTGATTTGTCAAGCTGCTTGGGTGGTGCATTTAACTCTTAAGCGTAGTTCCCCAGTACGTTTTGTCAACGAAAAATTTAATCAGACAATTTTCCGAAAAATCGCCGAAAACGTACCCTTTTCACAACCATTTTAGGTGTATACAAAAGCACCTAAATCGCGTTTCATCCTCTTTTCTTCCCGTTTTCGGATTTTTTGCTGACTGTGTTGTTCTCGCAACAAGCGCAGCAGCTTCGCGCAAGTGTATATGTTACTTATTCTTTGGAACTTCACAATAAAACTGTGAAAGAGCGAATCAACACGATTTTAGAGGCAGTCGAGAACGAACTTATAAGAAGTTTTAAAACTTGTAAATTTTTGGACGAAAGTGCCAACGTAAATAGTGGGACTTAATGTTCTTCGCAATGCAAATCGAAGAAGAACTTTTGATAAGCGAAGTACTTAAGACTTACACCACTGCCGACGAAATTTTTAAAGCTATCGACAAATTTGTACAAAAAAATGGGTTGAAATGGAGCAAGTGTGCGGATATTTGCAGTGGTTGCAAAAACGAAAGGAGCGATGTCTAGGATGAAGCAAGAGACAGAAACCGCGACGAGAAGTCACTGTATGATCCGTCTGTATTCCCTGGCGACTGGGAAGATGCCGCCACTAGCTTTAAAACCCGTATTGAATGACACTGCGGAGATAGCAGGTGCCTGCGAAATTAAAATACATCTTTGGTTTTTTCTAGCACGTCGAGGTTTTTTTATTGGGGACTGTATATTTTAGAATTTCTAGCAATTTGCATGAAAACCCCATAAATAAACAAAGTAAATCAGAAAAACGTATGCAACTTCGAAGTTAAATCTAAGAAAATTGATAACAGCCGGTTTTACTTGCAATTTAAATGGAAAATGATTTTTTATTTTCTGTAATTTTCCATATAAAATTCAATAAACTAAAATCATTTTTCACGTAAATTGTGAAATTGGCTTTAAAAGTTATTTTCTTAGCGTTAACGCGCATTACCAGCGTTAACTTGGAAGGTTTAGAAAAAACCATTGTCGAATATTTTCCTAACATTGACTCTGAGGATGTCTACAGCTGGATAACAAACCCGTTTTCATATGACCCGAAAAGTAAACCTACTGATATGGCAAATTAAGCTTTTGGAAACCTTCTGGACATCACTTTGAATATTAAATACTACGAAGGGAGCCAAGAGAGTTCTGGATGCAAGATTATGCAGAAAACACTGCTGTTGGCAAGATTTCATTAAAAATACTAGTGACTTTTACTTTTACATTTCTATGTGAGACTTAATTTTCAACAAATGCTTACAAAAACAAGTAATTTTTAAGCAAAAAACAAAACCGACTTCAGTTCACATATACAAATTTAAGATTATCGTTAATCTCTTCATATTCCAATAATCGGATATAAACCAAGTTAGAATGGGGCCACCTCTGAGGTAACACCTTTCCTGTAAAAAAAGAATTATAGTAGTCGGTTAAAAAAAATACACCAGCAAGCTTTCATCGTCAAATGATTTCAGGGTAAAATTGTCAAAGCTCCCAATAAACTTAAAGGAAATAATGAAATCATCAAAACAATTTCAGTCCTCACATTAAAGCTAAAGGAGCATAAAATTTGCATTGTGTTTTTTTGTTTTCGTAGACATTTGGAATGAAGTTGCAAGATTTTATCCGAACTTTTTCTTCTAGGAAAATCATGAAGGGTCAAGCGATCAACTGTGTAAACATAGATTGTACGCTGTCAAGCTGATAGCGAAATAATAAAAGTATTACCTTAAATATTACCGTTTCGTATGCGATTTAATGTTCCTGGCGAGCAATCAACTTTTAATTTATTGCCTTCAATTTTTTCGTTTTTTTTTTTAACTGAAAGAAAACTCTTTGACTTTTTAACAGGATTTTTTTTTTGTGTTCTCGTACTTTTTTGTTATTACCCCCTTTTTACTCTCAATACAGAGAGTAATTTTGCTGTTTGATATTTTTACAGGATTTTACAGAAAAATTACTGCATCAGGACTATATATGAATGTAAATAAGTATATTCTATTGTTCGACCGAAGCTGGAATTTCGGACGAAGCCGAAGCCGAATATTAGGTACTATTCAATATTCGGCCGAGCATCGAAGCCGAAGCCGAACATTAAAATTAAGATTTGCGTTTCAAAAATAATAAGTCTGTGATTTTTTATTTCGTAACAAATTATCTATGTATATGTATAACACGCAGGACAAAAGATCTGTACCGTTCGCTCGATTTTAAAAAATGCTGTGTCAAATTAAAGCGCTTGGTCTGTAGATGTGCAAACTGGTTTTATTTTTTCGAAAAAAGTTGCCACCTGGTTTAAAAAGTTACATTCAAATTATTTAATAAGTTCGTTAAGTAAACAATTGGGTATTGTTATTGGAGTCAGGAGACCTGAAGCGAACCAGAGTTTTCGATCGAAAAATATTGATTTTCAAGAATTTCATACCATTTCTGCGAAAAGTTGTTTTTTTCCTCATATACATAAAATTCATGGAAAACTTTGAGCGCTTTGAGCGACCTGTAAATATTTTTTTGATTTCAAAATTAAAAAATACGGGTATAGTTCTTTCGATATAGAAAAATCATAATGGGTGAGAGCATTAAAATTCCTATTTTACTCATTTTGGACCATCCTAATGAACACGACATACAAAGTAATTTTTTATATGGAAAAAAGTGCATAACACCGTCAGAAAAAAAATTATCACAAATCAACGCGATTTTTTACCGCATACCAAAAATTATTCTAAAAATAAAAATTTAAATGCTTGGAATTGGGACTGAAAATTTGTGGAGTTTTCACAATTTTTGTATAAAGTTCGAAATCATGGGCGTCGCCAGGATCGAATTTAGGGGGGGGGGGGCCCGACATATAAAAAAAATCCCAAAATTTTCATCTTTACACATTCATGTTTCTGGCATGCGGGGGACGATATGTACTTGCCGATTTGTTTTACAAAAATTATTTAAAAAGCAGACGTCTCGGTTGCTCAGAAAACCGGTTAATCGTTTCTGCAATTATTTCACATTGAGTCTCTAAAACAAATTTTCGATGTATTCTTAAAATGTATAAACCTTAAGGTAAATTTTATAGGAAATTAAACTAACAATTTATTAAAACTAGTAGTAACCCCCGAAATACAGGTGAGTCCTTAACTCAAAATTTATTCAAAGAACTTCGCGAAATTATTCTTGTATTGCAAGACACCTGATAACCCAGGATAATTTTTAAGTTCTTAAAAGACACATTACTCTACTCTAAGCTTCGTGTAGTGGGCCATGAGAAAACCGTCATCTTTAAGGTATAGTCCAACCTTTCACAATATCTGGTATTAGTCTTAATCTGAAACGCAATAATCATTGAAAATTGGCGCCGTTTATGGTGAAAATTAAATGCTTTTCATCACACTTTCAAACTAAAGTTTTCTTAACCCTAGAAGCCTAATCTCTTTGGGAGTAACGTAAAGCCTTAATATACGCCGTAGAGGCTTATTTACTTAAAAGATAACCTGTGAGTTAAAATATACTTAGTTCTGCCTTACTTTTTAAAGAATATTGAAGTTGTGAGTTTGACTAATAATAAAACATAGTTTTATTAATAAAAACTATAAGCACATTTATTTAAAACAACAAAATAAAAAGTCAATTTCGTGTTAAAATTAAAAAAAGCCCCTTTCCGTATACGCCTCGCAGACGTAGATTATACTTTTGGGGTTAACCCTTTCAGTACAAAAATTCAACCACTGGTTCCAAAAAATTTTAAATATGTATACCGGCTAATTTTGGATCGTTCATTTTAAAACTCACATACAAAAATGTGTAATGCTTTGAGGTTTGCGGCCATTCAGGGTCCTAGGTGTTTAAAAAAGAAAGGGATCTCAGCTTTATTTATTTTTTGCTTTCGTGAAATATATTTCAAAACTATGAATAATACCTGATAACTTTTCCGAATCTCAATTCCACGGAAATATGGTTAATATTTTTCAATAGATTATATTACTCACTATCGACTTTTCTGCCGCTTTTTACTTTCTTGATAAACACGGTCAACTGCAACTACAGCTTGCACTTTAGTTTGATATATAGCTCAATTCTGTGGCTGCTACAGATCGGCCTAACTAAGTCGTATGACTGAGCAATTATATATAGATACTAAAGGCCTGAACTACAAAACATAGCGACATATAACACATCATGCAAGTGCCAGTTTATATCAGGTCGCTTATACATGTTTGAAAGTGATATATGAAGACATTACCGAATAAATTCAAATCAAATCATGCATCAAATTTATGCATGTCAACAAAAAAAACACATGCAACATATTCAGCATTATTATTTACATTGTATATACGCGAAGATATTTTCCGAATTTTCAAGCTCCTACTTAGTAAAATTTATTAAACAATTATCTAATTAAAAATCTATATACCAACGGTGGGCAAACGTGGCTCTTTGAGCCAAATGCGGCTCTTTGCTTGGCAGAGTTCGGCTCTTTTTACTTTCTCCTTGCTTAGAACATTTTTGCTCTTTTTACCTTCCTTTTATTAACTCGGGATGTAACTATGTAATATTGATGCGCCTAAAAGATGCAGCGATTTCTATTCTCAAGTTACATACCTGATGACAGTACGAATGGCAATTATAATAGGGAGGTTTAAGTTTTTTAAACTATAATTTTTTACTTTTTAAAATACATATTTCATACATATTACACATATACATACATATTACACATATACATACATATTACACATATACATACATATTTTACATACATACATATTATACATATTTTAGCCCACATCAATTTGCCAACAAAAAAACAGCTGATCAAGAAGAGCTGGTTGGAATTTACGCAAATCTGCGCTGGTAACATAAATTCTATAACCGCTAATTAAAGTGTCTGTCAATTTTTAAACCTTTTTCGCATTCTGTGCTCTCTTCTCTCTCACAAATCTTCATAGCTGAGTTGCTGAATATTTTCACTGCATTACCAACGTACCTAGAATCGCGGTGACAAGAAGTGGTAACATTTTTATACCCGAGCGCACTTGTGCACAAGGGTATTATAACTTTGTTCACATAACGGTTGTTTGTAACAGGCAAAACGAATCGAGATAGATATAGACAAATGTATACATAAATGATCAGGATGAAAAGAGAAATCGATTAAGCGGTGACTGCCTGTCCGTCCATCTGTCCGTCCGTCTGTGCCTACGATAACTCGAGTAAAAATTAAGATATCTTAACGAAACTTGGTACGTGTACTTTTTTCGGGCGTAGGACGGACGGTATTGAAAATGGGTCAAAATCGGACAATAACCACGCCTACCTCCCATATAACGGTAATTTTCAGAAATACGAAAACTGCGATATTTTAAAAACTACTGAAGATTATTCACTCAAAATTTATATTTGCAATAATTTTAAGACGAAAAATAAGAATATTGTAAATTTTTTAAAAATGGGCCCACTTATGGTTACATGTGTATATCTTGGCAACCGCTGCACCGATTTCTTCAAAACTTGGCACAGTTGTTGGCTTTGGTACGGCATACCAAATGGCCGAAAATTTTTAAAATCGGACAATAACCACGCCCATATTCCATATAAGAATAATTTGGAGAAATACGAAATCAATTATATAAATAGGCAATCATGTTTCCTTTACACCCCTTTTACGGCTAAACTATACTTCTAAGGTATAAACAATTATATGTCATTAGAAAGGTATTTTGATGCTGATGTGCAGGCAATTTCTAAAATTTCAAATTAGTTTAAAATAGAGCGAAAAAATCAATTCAAAAGTCACACCAATACCAATGCCATACATGTACATGGTTGGGGTGGAAATGCCCCCTAAATGTATGCTTTAATATTGATACTGAATTACAGAAACGTGCTAAGCAGCAGTTTAGGAATAAGATGTATGTATGTATGTACGTATATACATGAATAGATTAGACTCAAACAAGGAAGAAGGTAAAGTTGAGTATGGAGAAGAAGAAAGAGGAAGGAAAATTTAAATACCTAACCTAATAACAGTGGTGTAATATGTAAATGAAGAAATAATGGACATATTTAGATCAGGATAAAGGAAAAGATAAAGATGAAGAATAATATGAAGACCAAGACGAGGAAGAAGATGAAGATGAAGATGAAGATGATAATGAGGATGAAGATGATGAAGATGAAGATGAAGTTGAAGATGAAGATGAAGATGAAGATGAAGATGGAGATGAAGATGAAGATGAAGATGAAGATGAAGATGAGGATAAAGATCATAACCCCTTAACTTAACTTAACTCACCTCAACTCATCTCACCACCGCTTAAAAACTTACTCAACCTGAGCTCACCCCACATTAATTCACCACACCTTAATTCACCACACCTCAACTCCCCACTCCTTAACCCCCACACCTAAATCCACCACACCCTTATTCACCACATTATTTCACCACACCTCAACTTTCTCACTACACCTCAATTCACCACACTTTAACTCCCCACACCTAAATCCACCACACCTTAACTCACCACAACTAAATTCACCACACCTCTTAAGCCCACCCCACCTGAATTCACAACACCGTTACTCCCACACCCAATTCCACCGCACCGCAACTCACCACACCCAATTTCACCACTTGTCATGATATCACTTGATGTGGCATCAATGACAACATCATTTGGCCCAAGTGAACCAAAATAAACACGATTTTTAATCTTATATAATGAAATATAAAATAATAGCGGCGTTCATATAAATTGATAAACTTCGGATAAACGAGATAAAATGATAATTAAATCAGTTTATCACTTTTGATGAAGACCCCGAATATATTGCAATATAATTATGTTTCCATATGTTTTTTGGTTTTTGGTATCTTATCTTAAATACAAATAGGCAATCATGTTTTCTTTACACCCCTTTTACGGCTAAACTATACCTCAAAGGTATAAACAATTATGTATCATTAGAAAGGTATTTTGATGCAGATGTGCAGACAATTTTTCAAATTTCAAATTGGTTTAACATAAAGCGAAAAATCAATTCAAAATTGACACCAATACTAATGCCGTACATGTACATGGCTGGAGCGGAAGAAGGTAAAGTTGAATATGTAGAAGAAGAAAGGGATAAAGGTAAAGATTAGAATAAAAGTAAAGAAACCTAAATATAAACGAAGGTGAATATGAAGATGAAGATGAACATGAACATGAATATGAACATAAACAAGAACTTGAACATGAACATGAACTTGAACATGAACATAAACATAAACATAACATGAAGGTGAAGATAAACATAAACATAAACATTAAAATCGATAGAGACAAAGATAGAGAGGAAGAAAGTGATAGGGGTAAAAAGGAAATGCAACTGAAGAATATGCGATGTTATATATGGTGTGTTATGCTACATATGTTATGTTATTTAATCTTATGTTATGGTATGTTATGTTATGCTAAGTACTAAGCTAAACTCCCCTCCACTTAACCCATTCCAACTAATGTTATTTCAGCTCAACTCAACTCACATAAACTATCCTTAATTTTGGCGGCTGAATTTCAACCGCTGGGCGAACACTAGTCTTCGATAAATCAGTAAATATAAAAGCTAAATTACGCAAAATTGACGTGGCACCGCCCACTTATGATCACATATATGTATCTCGGTAACCGTTTTACCAATTTGTACCAAACTCGGTATGGTTATTGTGCTTGCCACATAAAAGCAAAACGTTGAAATCGGACTAAAACTACGGCTTTTCATATAACGGTAAATTTTAGAAGTGCTTGAAACTTCAATATTTCGAAATTTAAGGACGCTAATTTACTCAAAATTGATACACCCCGGCTTACCATGTAGCGGTAGCTTTCGGAAAGGTGAAAAACATATATGTATTTAATATTTGCGCCGGGTATTTAATGTTCGGCTCCGCCCGAACTTAGATTTTCTTACTTGTTTGGTAATAGAATTTTCCGGTCACAAAATCTTCGGTAACGTGCAGAATAGACCTATTAATGTAAACAAAATTTCTATCAGCTGTTCGTCTAACTTGCAAGTTTCTGCAAATTTTCTGTTCGCGTACTTTTTTTGGATATTTTTCTCTTGTAAGAGAACAGATGATATTTCGCCGGAATTTCGACATTTTTTACTGGAGATTTTAAACGAACGTACCTATTGACTATCCAACATTTAACAGGATTGTTACGAACGGCTTTAACTGACCTAAAACCAGATTTTGAAAATCTCGCCAAAGGGATCTTTTGAATTTTCTTTTATATCTATCTTACGTACAATAGAATAATAATACAATTAATGTTTTTCAATTCTAATAACAATTTTATTTAAAAATAAAATTTTTGTTTTTCTTGTTCTTTTTTTTTGTGGCTCTTTGTAGCATTTAGAACTTAGATGTGGCTCTTTTCGGCCTCGGCCTTGCCCACCCCTGCTATATACATTTTTATACAAGGCAGGATTAAACAGTATTAAAAATATGCTGCAGAAACACAACAGCAAACAACAGCTGAGCTAAGAAGCAATGACATGCTATAACAGTATGTTTGAGATGGAATGACATGGCATAGCAATGCATGTAATTTTTGAAAATGACATTTTAATAGATATGCTGGGAAGAAGTTAAGAAAATGTTTAAATTTATATTTTGTTACCTACATCACCATATTTGAAATTTGGACTTATATGGTTTTCGTTGGATAAGGAGCTGAATTTTATTAAACAATTAATGAACCTTAAAAAAAAGCACAAGAAAAGTAGTCAAAACTGATAAAAATGTTGATGTGTTATCTTTTGTAAAGGGGTGTATACATACATATGTATACACATACATATATACCTATATGTAAACTTACATACGTTTGAATTATATTCATTAAGTATGCAATTTCGCATAGTTCAATTCATGGAAGTTCATTTTAATTGTTGCACTTGTCTACCATTTTTGTTGTAAACATTTGCATTTTCTTTTGTTTTCATTTTTCTATGCATAAAATAGGCGTCACTTATCAAGAAAAAACAAATACATACAAATGCAATTTAAATACTATTTGTTGCCCGCTATCACCATAGGAGAAAAAATTAAATAACATTCTTCCGAATTAAATAGAGAGAAGAATTTGCACTCTTTGGATGACTAATTGATTCAATATATTCTGTTCGCAGATTACCCCAAAATCAATGAGTAATTGTTTCGTTGAATTTGTAAAACAAAAACTTATTTTCCGATACTAAATCGTGACTATGTACGGGAGAAAATCCGAGCCTGGTGGTAAATATGTACAGCGCACAAAAAAAGGTTATTTTAAACGAATTTTCGACGATCTCACTACATACTTGGTCAGTGCTTTTGAAAAATAAATACTCTTATCTGTATTCTCGTAGAATAAGGTTCGGTGGTTTGAAATCCAAGATAGAAATAGACAGTGTTGGGAAGTATCGAGTACTTTTGAGGATCGAGTTCTTTGGTATCGATACCTTTAAGGATCGGGTATTTTCCAGAGTACTGAGTACTTTTTTAAATATACATATGTTGGTAACATTTCAGTTCTTAGTGTAGAAATTTCACAAGCTGCCAGTATTTTATTCAAATTAATATATGAATCCCAAGCTACGTCAAATGTATGCCTAACTGTAGATACTGGGTACAAGTATTGGAATTGAAAATTATTGAAACTGTAAATTAAGTACAATCATTTCTGAATACCAGTAAATGTAAATAAAACTCAGTACTTTTTTAGCCTATTCGACACTTAATACTAAGCACTTTGAATCGATCCTGAGTAAATGTATCAAAGCGATTATTGCAACAGAGTGTTTTTGAGTACTGAGTACTTTCGGGTTTTTTTAAGTTCTGAGTACTTTCGAATTCTTTTCAGAGTACTGAGTTCTTTGAAGTATGTACTCAGTATCGCTACTTTTAAAATCGGGTGCTGTCGATCCTTTTGAGAATCGATTTCTGAGTACTTTTGGTATCGATACAGCCCAACACTAGAAATAGAGATAATATCATTCCATAGTAGAGTTGGATTTTTTAGTTCACTTTAAAGATTAGTTCACTTCTAGTTCGTTCAGCTCAATGAACTAGCTCTTCTGAGTCTTAGTTCATATAAAAGATAGAATAAATCTGTAAAGTAAAAAACATATTTTTTCTACAAGTCAATGGTACTCTTCTATAATGACAATTCAGTCGTCTTCATTCATTCGTCTTTCTTCAAAATCACGAAAGGATGTTTGGCTTTCATACGGCGACTCTAATTTCCATGAGAGCCATCAACAATGCTTATGGAAACTCGGCAGTGATTGCATTTTATTTGCTTTTCTTCAATTTTGCCTTCGAAATGCGACCAAATTGCTCTGCGCTTTGGCATCTTAAAGCGAAAGTCTTTTGTTAAACAACAAACTCCAAAAACTCAACTCAAATATATACTTCTTTACACAAATTGCATTAAGCTATGTAAAACATTGGAGATTCAATGAAATAAAATGTCTTTTTAGTTATATCTTTATGCCATTACAACGAAAAACGATATGTCATATGTGCTAAAATTACATTTCCATTTCCATTGGAGTGTTGGCTCAGAAAGGTTTATTTCACTTTAATGAACGAACTAATGAACTAGTTCAAATAAAAGAGCTGGCTCTTTCGCTATTTAGTTCAAAAGCTCCCCAAGCCTATACCATAGGTAACGAAAGGAAAAATAAATATCAAGTTCAACAATTAATCGGTCAATTTTAACACAGAATAATTGAATCGGTGAGTTCTACAACCGTAAAAGTTCAAAAGTTGAGATTTAAAGTAAGATAGAAATTTTGTTTAAAATTTGTTAAACCCTTACTAAATACTTGACCGTTAACGTACCAAAGTTGATTGCACATGCAAGAAATGAGGAATGATGAGAAAAACCGTACATGTCATGGACTTGCACGGTTTTTGATGTGAACATCTAATTAGTGAAGCTACACTGACTATGCCACTATATAAATATATATGAA